GTTGCCTTTTTTGGTGGGGGGAAACAACTTTGGGACAACCATGACCTGGATGATTGAAAATCCCCATAGACATTTAACCAAATACATGATTGATTTAGGTCCTATCCCAAGGTCATCCATCAACCAAACAGATATTCTTTCTAAATGTGCCCAGTTTTTTTAATAGACCTGTGCTCCTACATCTGAGAAACCTCTTTTATTTGATATTTTCCAGTCACTTCTCTTTGTGCTCTTCTCCCTAGAATTTTTCTTCCTAGTTTTGGCCTGATAAATGTTGATTAGGCTACAGCAGACTGGTAAAGTTATTCAGATTTTTCATGTGGAACCATGCTCCAAGAATGGGTCACCCCGAGACCCCACCATTACTTATGGCAAAATAAATTAGTTCCTTTGGTGGTTCACATTTTCACGCTTAAATGGTGGCCCACACCAAAATAAATTTAAAGGAACATTCAAAATATGATGCCACTGAACTTTATTGTGCAGCCAACCAGGAAACACCCCCCCCCACATTTTATTGTCACCAAACTGAAGGCTAACCCTATGTGTTCCACTTGAAGTCCTTTATTTCATTCTAATTAGCACACCGTAATTATTTGCTTTTTCCCCCCCTATACTTACTTTGACAAAAACGCTATGAAGTACAAAATTACAAAATGTTTGTAATTAACCTGGCACTGTGGCAGCCAGCATTAATTGCATCCTCCTAATTTTCATTTGTTTGATGGTTTTCTTTCAAGAAAAAAAACCCCTCATAGTTCTGGGTTTTCATCTCCTTTTTCTACCCTCTCACTGATTGGGACAAACCTAAGATAGATTGTTTAAGGCTCTCCATCTTTTGTATTTATCATCTATCTGAGAACTGGATGTGCTGGATTACAAAGAGACATTTTGTACACTTTCCAAAGAAATAACAACACATCTTTTTCACATAAAATGTACAGTATAAGAACATACCAGAACCAGTTTGGTATAGTTGTGAAGGCATCACTCTAGAAATAGTGTTCTAGTCCTGCATTAGGCATGAAAGCCAGCTGGGTGACTTTGAGCCAATCGCCAGGAGACTGTGAGTTCTAGTCCCGCCTTAGTCATGAAAGCTGGCTGGATGACTTTGAGCCAGTCATTCTCTCTCCACCCTAGGTGGAAAGCAATGGCAAACCACCTTCGCAAACCTTGCCAATAAAACTGCAAGGACTAATCCAAGTAATTGCCAAGAGTAAAAAACCAACTCAAAGGCATGCATACACAAATTCATAACAGTACAATAGTGAGACTACAGCAGACTTTTGTTTAAATACCCACTGCGGGAAATGCAATTGAGAGATCAGCACAGCCTTTAAGCTCTGCCTTCAGCTCCCAGTAGACTTTGGTTTAGAAAAGAGAAAGTTGGCTGAGATACGGCTTGGATTTGATCCAGCCTGGCTGCTTTTCTGTTGACTGCCACCTTGAGAATATTTGGGCAATGACAGTTTGCATATCTGCTTCTGAAGTCTGTTGGAGGGCTGGTAGCCGTTATGATCTGGGTTCTTAAATCATTCTTATTAAATCTTCGGGCCATATTTCTGACATAACCAGAATCTTTGAACTAATTTTGCACGGAAGTAATCGCAATGGATGCAATGGTGATGTCAAGCTTATTGAACCAATTCCCCCCCCCTCCTTTCTTTCCATTGTTACAAAGCAACAAGTAGCTCAATAATTAATTCTAGGTAATCTAGAAATGCTTATCTTTCCAAAGCAGGCGAGCAAACAAACAGCCTTCTATCAACCACTTGACAGAATATTTTAACGTTTGATTAAAAGAGCCAGATTCCCTTCCCTTCTCCTCCTTTGCAGTTCTTCCTCTTTACAGCCTTGAAGAATGGTTTGAAACCCATTCACTTTTATACACGTTTAAGCTGACAGCCCAAGGGACCAGCAAACAACCCAACAACAAATAGCAGTAACAAAACACTAAAGAACCAGCTGGATGTTTATAGCTTTTTATGAGAGACGTTTCCCCCCCCCCCAAAAAAAAAGTTAGGTTCATGTTTGATGTTGCTTGAGAGCACAGAGGGAAGCCCCACACTCGGTGGCCTAATTAGCAGGATGTGCATAGCTTGACATGGAGAGAGAGAGCAGTGGAGATGTTATGTGAACTCTCCAACATGATAGGATTAGCCAGCAAAAACCTTGGGTTTGTTTGTGGCTAAAATAGCTCTCCTAGTCAACAAATGCCCTTTGTGTTATATGAACCTACATACCAAAGATCAATTAATTCTCACATCTGAGATTGAGGTGAAATCCCCAAGAGCCCTGTAAAAATGGGCATCTCTAGGAACTCATCTCTCTTTTCCTAGCCCTTATCATCTCAGTGCTATTGCATCATTGTAGCTTCCCTGGGAGGAAAGTAATGGCCTCCCAGAATTCTAGAAGGGACTCTGAGAAAGGTCATTCAGGATGTGAACAGGACCCAACATCATCCAACACAATCCAGAGGCTAAGAAACACCTTGATAGTCCAAGGTCCATCTATCTAACCTTGAGTTGCTTATTACTGGAACAGTGGAAGTTTTTAAGAAGAGACTGGACAGCCATTTGTCTGAAATGGTATAGGATTTCCTGCGTGAGCAGGGGGTTGGACTAAATGAACTCCAAGGTCCCTTCCAACTCTGTTATTCTATTCTATTCTATTCTATTCTATTCTATTCTATTCTATTCTACTCTATTCTATTCTATTCTATTCAATTCTACTCTACTCTACTCTACTCTACTCTACTCTACTCTACTCTACTCTACTCTACTCTACTCTACTCTACTCTATTCTAAATGAACTCTACTCTAAATGAACTCCAAGGTCCCTTCCAACTCTGTTATTCTATTCTATTCTATTCTATTCTATTCTATTCTATTCTATTCTATTCTATTCTATTCTATTCTATTCTATTCTACTCTACTCTACTCTACTCGATGTTTAAAGTCAATGAGTCATTTTAGTACACAGTCTGTTTTCAGTAGTTTTCAGCCTTTCCCAAAGGCATTGCGTGGTTCAAGGAAGGATGACACCATCTGCCATTTTTAGCACAAGCAATCCATTTATACGTGTGAGTTCCAACTTACATACCAATTTGAGTTAAAGGCCCAGTTAGGAAAGGAACTCATTTACTAAAGAGCTAAAGGAAGGATTCACCGAACAATGAAGTCAGGTGCATGGAAACTATTATTAGTTTGAACAAATGCTATCCCATAATTTCTCATTTAGCTTTTTGGGAACTCCTCTTTCAGGGCTGAGGAAGAATATGTGCAATCAGCTCCACTTAACAAAGTATTGTTCTCTCACCTTGGAGAGACAAAGTGCAAAATGCACCCTATGCGTCTCTTCCGTCTCATGTGTGATGGTTACCATGTCTTTGGATTTCTGAGTTCAAATCCTTTCTAGAAATCCTGCATTTTTGCTCTCTCTCGGTGTGCATGGCACTCTGCGTCCCTTTGAACAAGGGGCACTAAATAGTCTATGGGGATTTTTCAGAAGCTGGAAAGTTCCATTCTCAACTTCCCCTCCTAACCTAGTTAGATTATCACATTTGAAAATGACCAATTAAGAGCCCTCATAATTCACTAGTTTGTCTTTCAGAGGACTGAAGTGCTCTCCTTGGCTGACACAGGAACCCTGGAGGAAGACGGAAGCCCGATTTCAGCTCAGGACCTTGAGCATTCGAATAAATAAATCCCTTGCATTTATTTCCTCCCTCGACATGGAAACAACCACCCTCAGGTCTTACCATCCTAATTAACAACATGTCTTTCTAGCCATACTGTAACACATCCAGTTCAAACTGAAGAAGGGAACTCAAGAAGCCTCTCGGATGAGAAACACAACATTTTAAAGAAAAAAACAACAACCCAAAAAAATTCAGTTGCCTTTTGGAAAAAAACATCCTCGTCAGATCTAGCACCACTTTTAAACCTCTAAACCAGGGCTAGGCAACCTTGCTGGCTCAGGAATTCTGGGAGTTGAAGTCCACGAGTCCTAAAAGAGCCAAGGTTGCCTACCCCTGCTCTAAATGAAGCAGAAGCAGGTGTGAGGTGGCAGCTGACACACCTTTGGGACAAGCATGATACGATGATTGAGACCCTCCTTAGATATTTATCCAGTCCAAAGTCACAATCCAAACCAACAAAAATAATCCCACAATCTGCTTAACCAACTGATTCTTATTTATTTATTTATTTATGAGACTTATATACCGCTTTTAAGTGCAAGCACTCTCTAAGCGGTGTACACCAGTAAGCAATGTATATATATATTTACATTGCCCCCAACAATCTGGGTCCTCATTTTACCTACCCCGGAAGGATGGAAGGCTGAGTCAACCTTGAGCCGGTGAGATTTGAACTGCTGACCTGCTGAACACAGTCAGCTAAAGTGGCCTGCAGTACTGCACTCTAACTGCTGCGCCACCTCAGCTCTTAGCTCTTAATCCCACAATCTGCTTAACCAACTGATTCTTCCTGTGTAGATGGGAGAATTCACATTTTAATGCTCCCCATATCAAAAGTATTTCCATACAAACTGAACACAGGACCATCCAAATAGGTCTTCCCCAACCCCAGTATTCTCAAGACATGTCAGTCTATAATTACCAGGCAGATATGGGAGTTATAGTCTAACACAATGTTTCTCAATCTCTTGAAGCTACGTGGACTTCAACTCCTAGAATTATTGGGAGAAGTTTGGGAAGTTGAGGAATTCTGGAAGTTTGAAGATCACACATCACTGAGTTGCTGAAGTTGAGAAGCACTGGCCTGACATATTTAGAGAGCGCTAGGTGGAGAAAGATGGATATAGGAGGAGACTAATTTAGAGATTTCTATCCCTACCATAACAATTTGGTGAACATTACATCGCAAGGGATGCTTTTAAATAGGAGAATGAAACTACTTCATAAAAGAAGGCAACATGCAATTCTGGTAGGCATCTAAGAGCACCCTTAAATCTTCAGCGTTGGCTGGCTTACTCACCCGAGCAATCAGTTCTCCAACCATGCCAGTCCACGTTCCGTTAGTCTCAGGAACTCCGTACACGCCATCTCCCACCAGGTGGATCTTGTAGTTGAAGTGCAAAATATCTGCAAGCTCCTTGAGCATGTCCACGCAGAAGCCTTCGTAGCGGTCATTCCCTTCCAGCTCTTGATGGTTGCCCTTGAGCATTAAATAAGGGTTTTCCTGCATCGAAACTGGGCAGCTGTCATTCTCATCTTAGCCACGGAGTTGCAACAGCACTAGATTCAGCACAAATCGGAAAGCAGGGGCGGGTGATACGAGGGACTCACTGGGAATTTCTGGGAAGGGGAACAAATCTCTGGAATAGATACATCAGGCTTTCAAGTTATCTGGGGGATGCAGTATAAGAGCTGGCTAGATCCAAACGAGCAGATGTTTTCCCCAGGTTTGGAAGACAGACAACCATCTTATTCTATGCAAGTGACAGTTTTGTCAGAAAAGAGGGATTCTTGTGGGCAATAAATGCCCCCTGGTATATGTGGGACAATATGGAAGGGCGCAATAGGAACTAGGGGTAAGAGGCACCGCTACAGCAAGCAGGGGGTACAGTTACTAGCAGCATTCAATATGGAGAGAAGGATGTTTGACTACTGCTCTATAGTAGCCTAGCACTAAGGATGGGAAAGGATCTCTCCAGTCCAGCAAAGTGCCCTGATTGTTCGGCCAGTGTGACAGTGGTCTGGGGTGGCAATAGAGTAATACTTGAGGACCAGTTACTTCTATCCCTTGAGTTGTAGCATGACTGTTACTATGGGACACCTTGGCACTTGCGCCTGGTTGAAGAACGTCATAGGGAGTTTCCCCAGGCATAATTCTGACAGACAATAAATTAGCTGATGGAGTTGCTTGTAAGCTGCCCAGAGTCGCTGTGAGCGAGTAGGCAGCGGCCATATAAATTTCACAAACAAACAATCAAATGGAAGAACTGAGTCTGCTAATCTGGGAAAGATGTCAGTCAGAATACGAACTGCTGCTGGACTTAATTTTCCATGGATGGAAATCCATGAGGATGTTTTGAAGAACTTAGAAGCAGTGGACAACTGAAAAGACTGAGAAGCCCTTGGCCACAAGGGGCTGGGAGCAAAGCAAGGTGTTTTTTGATGTTACGAAAACATTTCCCTAGATTATCGGAGGTCACTCAGATTGTATAATCCTTACTACAACAAGACGTCCTAGACAAAGGGAAGATGACTTCTCCATCTTTATCACTAAACTGGATCTAATCCAAACCCCATTGGAGAAGAATGGAAAAGTGGGATGCATATGGATCCCATTTCAAGCTTCACCCTTGCTGGCACTGAATGTACCAAAAATAGATTTGTGCAACAACAGCGCCATGAAAAATTAAATAACTTCTGCAAATTTGCAGTGGGATTGTATGTTCCTTCGAGAATTTCGTAAATAGACCTATGCATGAAATGATAGCACTTTGAACACTTTTCCTCAAGCTGGTGTCCTTCAGATATATTGGGATTACAATTTTCAGCATTCCCAGCTAATATTCTGGTTCTTGTAATCCTAATAAGTCTACGAGACACCAAGTTGGAAAAAAGCTGGTGTAGAGCAGGAGTCCCCAACCCCCAGTCCGGGCTGCAGCATGCCAGCAACTGGTCCACATAAACAAACAAAGTCCCAACTGCGAGATGCAGGCAGCACACAATACCACTCACTCTCCGGTCCTCGGAAAAACCTCTCTCCACGGAACCGGTCCCTGGTTGGGGACCTCTGGTATAGAGGACAATAAGAGGCCATGTCTCCATTACTTGAGAAGAAAAGGGGTCATTCTGACCCTCCATGCTTACCAGGATGGTGGTGACCAGAAGTGTGGTGTTGAAGAGGCTCTCTGACACATTGGTAGAGAAGATCTGATTATCCATCGAAAGGCCTTTCGTAACGTGCCAGTGACCGATCTGCAAAGAGGAAGGAAAGAGGGGCGAATTACCAGAATAGGCCTGCTTCTGCCATATGGCCAGTCTGGCAGGACAACAGCGCCAGTTCTGCAACATGGAGCGGTCAATGCTTCATTAGCTTTACAATATATCCCACCAGCATTATGTTGCAGAACTCAGCTAGGACCTGGCCTTGGCAGGGTTTGTCATAACCACAATTTAAAAAAAAACAAACCCAAACTTGTGGGGATTGTTCCAAGTGCTCCACCATAGAGAAACTCTTATACACAGGATAACAGGAAGCATCGTGGAAGCAGGGAACTTAATAGAATACCAGAGTTGGAAGGCACCATGGAGGTCTTCTAGTCCAACCCCCTGCTCAAGCAGAAAGCTCTATACCAGTGTTTCTCAACCTTGACAATTTTAAGGCATGTGGACTTCAACTCCCAGAATTCCACAGCCAGCAATGCTGGCTGTGGAATTCTGGGAGTTGAAGTCCACATGCCTTAAAATTGTCAAGGTTGAGAAACACTGCTCTATACCATTAAGACAAATGGTCGTCCAATCTCCTTTTGAAAACCTCCACTGATGGAGCACACACAACATCTAGAGCAGGGGTCCCCAACCCCTGGGTTGTGGACCAGTACCAGGCTGTAGCATGCTAACAACCGGTCCGCACAAACAAGCAAAGCCCCATCCGTGGGACGCAGGCAGCACACAAAACCATGGACCCTCCTGTCCATGGAAAAACCTTTCTCCACAGAACCGGTTCCTGGTGCCCAAAAGGTTGGGGATCTCAGGTCTAGAGGTAAACCATTCCACTGATTAATTGTTCTCACTGTCAGGAAATTTCTCCTTAGTTCTAGGTTGCTTTTTGTCTTGATTAGTTTCCATTCGTTGCTTCTTGTCCTGCTTTCAGGCACTTTGGAGAATAGGTTGACCCCCTCTTCTTTGTGGCAGCCCGAGATATTGGAACACGGCTATCATGTCACCCCTCGTCCTTCTCTTCATTAAACTAGACATACCCAATTCCAGCAACCGTATGTTTTAGCCTCTAATCATCATTGTTGCTCTTCTCTGCACTCTTTCTAGAGTCTCAAGATCTTTTTTTCAGCACAAGCATTGAGATCAGGGTAGCATTGCTCCTGCAACATTGCTGTTGCTCCTGCCCTCTGGAACATCTTGTCCCCCCCCATGTGAGGTTGGCCCCAACCCTCCTATCCTTTTGTAAGGGTCTAAAGACTTGGCTCTGCCAGTTGGCTTGGCGCCCCAGTGTGGGAACAGCGCAATGGAGGTGGTTGAGTAACAACAGATCCCACCTCCCCCCACTCCGCCCCAGCCCTCCCCATGTCTCCTTAGGTTTTAATGTTCAATTTTTTATTTATTTTTTATTGTATATGCATAGACATATTTTTATGAGTGTAAGCTGCCCAGAGTTACCCTATGGCAAGATGGGCCAATAAATTTTATACATAAAATAAATAAATGAACGTACCTTAGCAAAACTAGATTTTCAGTTCCTCAACTGCCAAGGTGTACTCTAGTAAGATGCTTTGATATAAAGGCACATTTCCCATGGTTCTGTTTTGGTTACTAATGACCGTAGCCTCCTTTCCTCTATAATTGCTTCCAAAAGATTAATTAACCCTTTGTTAATGATATCATTCAAGCTAATCAACCCCAACAATCCGATAGCCACTCTAAGCCATTCCATCTAGGCTTCTATTTTACTCTTCTACAAACTAATTTACACTCTCCGGTGGCAATGGAACGGAGCCATAAATCCTTTCTGACACACTGTTTGTATGTTTGTTGTTGTTTTTAAGCAAACGAGAGTGAGGAGTCCTGAGTTTCAAATGCTACCAATTTTGGAGACTTGGTTTTAAGACTGACCCTTATTGCTTTGTGGGTGATCCAGATGGACCTGTTAAGATGCAACAGACAGGGGACAATAGATCATTTTGCAAGCAGAAGAGTTTTGCAAAGACATTCTTTGAAGAACCCCAGAATTGCTAATAACATTTGCTGCAGCTTCTACCCTGAAGAATGAAAGGACGGTATTTTATTTTAATTTTTTTTTTGCCTTACAGCTGTCAGCCCACCACAGCAAAATAGAGATACCCAATTTTTCCATTCATTCAATACTGCACATCCTTATTATCTCTCCAAGCGCTAAGGATCTTATGGGGGAAACTTGGCCCACAGTTTGTTCTCGATTTCTCCCCTTCTCTTTAAGCACCTCAGTTTATCAAGTTGTGTATCTTTCATCTGAGATAAAAGACAGATAGAGAAGCATGCCAGGATCACAATTACTTAAAGACCTATAGGGTGACAGTGAAGAAGTACCGGGCTTGACTACCACACGGGATCTGCTTCATTTGGCTGGTGCAAACATCTCAACCAAACCAAACTCTTTAACAACTTGAAATCCCACTTCAGCTAATGCAATAATCAGTTTAAATAGATTTTGAACTCGATTAAGTATACAGGTAATCAGGATATTAAGACTGTGGTCTGGTGCAATTAGATTAGTGTTACCTACGTAGGAACCAAGTTTTCGGATAACCAAAGAGATTTCTCTCCAGCTGCGCTCTGAACTACATTTTCATTTCTTGAAAAAAATGAGAAAGGTGATACAGAATTGAAATCACAGCTTGTTCAATTAAGGTTTCTTGAAGGGTTAGTTACTGTCTCTCAATCTGGCCTGTCTTGCCAGGATCGTCAGAGGATAAAAACACTCAATGAAACATAGGAAAACTTACCGAAATCCCAGCATCGAGAATGTCTCTCTTTGCAGAATAACCTACTCAGTTTTTCCTGGGTTAGCAATCAGACCTGCTTGGTCTCAGCCCAACACTGTACCAAGTACAGGTAGTCCTTGACCAACAATGAGCCCAAAATTTAGGTTGCTAAGTTCTGGGAGTTGACGTCTACAGGTCTTCAAGTTGCCAAGGTTGGACACGCCTGACCTACACAATATTACTCAGATGTCCCACAATGCCTTCTTGGTAATTTTTACAAGTTCTGCCTGGCGGATCAACGTTAAAGTCGAAAGTCTACCATTGTCTCTTCCTAGATTACACTCTTAACTACAATGTAATATTCTTCACTGTGGCAGTACTGCCCCTCGGTAACAGAGCATTTATTTCTGGCCCCTGCCCCTCTTTCCCCAGCCATTTAGAAACAGATTAACTTTAATTCTGACAGCCCTCTAAGTCCATAATTTGTATTTTCCCTGCTGGCATGCCCAAATTAATTGACTACTGCTGCTGCCTCCTCCGACAACTGAGCCGTATGACCCCTTGCTTCTACAATGGACGGCTAAATACATCTGTGCCTCAAGGTTATCCCATAATGTCCTGTGCTGACTCTGGCTTGAAGCTGACTCTCTCAATGGCAGCGTAATATTGCTAATACATCTCCCTCCCCAGACGCTTCTGTCTGTCGCTGAAGGTGAAGACATCCAAGAACGTTCAAGCATAGAACTTTTTTTTTTTCTCTCTCTCTCCCTCTCTCTTTCCTTATCTCTTGCTCCCTCTCTCTCTCTCTCTCTCTCTCTCTCCTTCCCTCTCTTTCTCTTTCTCCCTCTTCCTCCCTCCCTCTCTCCTTCTCCATCCTTTCTCTCCCTTTCCCTTTCTTTCTTTTTCCCTCCATCTCTGTCCCCTTCCCTCCCTCCCATTTCTCCCTCCCCTCCCTCCATCTCTCTGTCTCTCATTTTTCCTTTCCTCCCTCTCTTTTTCTCTCCCTCCCCCTCTTTTCCTCTCCGTCTTTCCCTCTTTCCCTCTCTCTCCTTTCTCCCTCCCTACCCCTCTCCCCCTCTCTCTTTCCCTCTCTCTCTCTGTCTCTCTCTCTCTCCCTTCCTCATGGTGAAGAATTATGCTCACCGCTCACATCACTCTTTCCGCCTCCCCCCCAGGGAAGAATGATCTAAATCAAGTAAAAATGGGAGAGGCAAAAATCGTAGGTCCAGAGAAGGAAGAGTACCATCTGGTCCAGCTGGAACCACAGCACAGGGTAAAACTGTTAACTTCCTGCTGGATAAATCTGCCAGGAATGCATGTTTTGATCCAAAGGGAAATAATAACTGTGAGGTTAACAAGGATGTGCAGGAAAGAATTGGATGTTCCTTTCCCCAGTTCTATGGAGCTACGTCAGGGGTGTCCAACCTTTTAAGACTTGCGGACTTCAACGGCCATGAATGTATGACGGTTGCAACGTCCCAAGGTCACGTGATCCCCTTTTGCAACCTTCTGACCAGCAAATCTGGGGAAGCCAGATTCCCTTAACAACCGTGTGACTCATTTAACAACTGCAGCGGTTCACTTAACAATGGTGGCAAGAAAGGTTGTAAAATGGGGTGAGACTTACTTAACAACGGCCTTGCTTAGCAACTGAAAGTCCGGGCTCAGCTGTGGTTGTACGTCCGAGGACGACCTGTACAGAAGAGAAGGCAGTTGTGAGGCCAGCCAAATCAGTTGGCCAACCATGTTCCCCGCCTGGTTGACGGCCTTCATCCAGCTGGCTACTTTGGGCACGGAGATGCCAACCTAGGAACTCCCAATGTGGAGAGGCCTTTCCCAACTTTCCGAAAAGAGACTCATCCAGACTTATTTCTCCACAGCGAGGGCTTTTCATCCTGTTCCAGTCATCTCAAGGTAGCTGTCAGCTGCAGAACCTTCTGACCAGGAAACCAGGCCTCTTCAGATATCTGTTTACTCAGATGAGATTCAAAGCTTGAATCTCATCTGAGTAAACAGATATCTGAAGAGGCCTCTCCTCTGAAGTCTCGCTCACCTTCTTCTCCTACCCCAAAGAGCTGCAAAACCTCAAAAGACCACATGTATTTCCAATAATTAGGAAACTGCCAATGGGGCCTGCAACCCCAAGGACAATTGATCCCACGGGAACGTGACCCGGCTGCATTCTCTGGGCTCTCCAGAGATCAAAACATGACTTTCCATTTCTTAAGGCGGTAAGCAGCCCTGAACTGGCGGCCTTGAATGGGGGCAACGCAGTCATCTGGCTCTGCGACCTGAAATAAAAATAAGCTCACTTTGTGCTCCTGGCTATATTTGTCAAGGCGGCTCCTCCTTCTTCCAAGGGGGAAAAATAATGATCATTTGTTTCTGAAGCTCCTTGTCATGGCTTATGGGACACAAAGAGAAGAAAAGGAGCTGCACCACAATTGATGGGATAATTAGACCAGGAACCCCTTGGCAATCTAAAGGGTTTCTCATCTCACCCCCCCCCCCCAAATATTAATACGGTAGGGATAACAAGCTGCAAAAATTCCGGTTGGGAAATTGTGTAGGGGCCTTGGAAGTTGATTGCCTTGAGAAGGAGCGACGGTGGAAATTCGGAGTTTCAGAATCATGTAAGAGTCATCTCATTTGAGCCTGCTTGAAAGAGGCAGGCAATAGACTCAAGAATTCCTGCTGCACCTTCTGGTTACTAGCAACAGCAGCTGCTCTTTCTTATAAAATGTATGAGTACAAGGTTGCATTTCAGATTATTTGGTTCATTCGGCTGATGAAATGTTTCTTCAGGTTGGAAAGGGTTCCCCCGGCATGGAGGAACATAGTTATCTGCCTTCTCCTAACTCAGATCTTTGAGCCATCTGGTCGGTCCTTCCTTCCTTCCTTCCTTCTTTCCTTCCTTCTTTCCTTCCTTCCTTCCTTCCTTCCTTCCTTCCTTCCTTCCTTCCTTCCTTCCTTCCTTCCTTCCTCTTTCTTTCTTTCTTTCTTTCTTTCTTTCTTTCTTTCTTTCTTTCTTTCTTTCTTTCTTTCTTTCTCTTTCTCCCTCCCCCTTCCATCCATCCTTCCTTCCTTCCTTCCTTCCTTCCTTCCTTCCTTCCTTCCTTCCTTCCTTCCTTCTTTCTCTTTCTTTCTTTCTTTCTTTCTTTCTTTCTTTCTTTCTTTCTTTCTTTCTTTCTTTCTCCCTCCCCCTTCCTTCCTTCTCTCTTCTCTTCTTCTCTCTCTCTCTCTCTCTCTCTCTCTCTCTCTCTCTCTCTCTCTCTCTCTCTCTCTTTCTTTCTTTCCAATTTATTGGTGGCCTATCTTACCACAGGGCAATAATATTGTTAGCAATGGCAATGTGCTTTTCCTGCTTTGGGTGTGCATGAATCTTAGCCACCGTAATTTCTAAGCTATGACTCCTGGTTTAGCATATTGCACTAACAATATCCAACTGTAATTTATTTTCTAAATCAGGGTTAACTGCCATTGTCGCCGTTTTGGGTTCCCAACAGTATTTTTAGCCCTACTGGAAGGTGCCTGGAGTTTGGGGGTGCAAAGCAGATGCTCTGATGCTCAGATAATATTAGGACCCTCTGAGCTAAAATGGGAGCCAAACCACACAACTTGAACTCAGTTCTGATTCTACCAGACAATGAATTTCCACCCCAAAATTAAAAAAAAGATTTGAAAGGCTCATTCTTTTCCAGGAAGCAGTCAAGGCAATGAGTTGGCATTTTTCTGCAAGCTGAAATCGCTACTGGGGGGTGGGGGGTGGAGAATTCCTTCTCAAATACCCTTAGCCAGCTTCGACTAAACACAACACCATGTTGAGGTCTGCTATGTAAATATATTAAATATTCAATCACTAAATGCTGCTGGCCATCAGCAGAAAAGAGAAAGCCTTAAGCACAGCTGATTTGCTGGCTGCTAGGAATCGCCAGCAACTTCAAAATTCACTGAATTTCCTAGCAGAGCTGAGAAACAGGGAACCCAGGTAAAAGAGAGAGAGAGAAGGAAATAAAAAACAAGAATAGTAAAAAAAAAAAAAAAACCCAAACCCAAACTACCCATCTAGGGAAGAAGAGCTTCTCCACCCCAAGAATCTAATGTTATATGAAGGTTTCTTCCCAAACTAGCTCCTGTCTGACTGAAGACGTGGATGGCATATTTAAACATTCCTGCAAGTGTAAGCATTGTGGGAATTTCCCCATCTAGATAGAGAGCTAATTGGTGAGAAGGCTAGCCTGGGACTCAATATGATTGCTCTTTCCAACCCACCGTTACTGCCTACAAGTTTTACAATAGGTTTTGTGGGTCTGCAAAGTAGCTGCTGTTTGGAACCTTTTTAAAGGTCCGTGATGCCTTTTCTGGAGACAGAACTTTCTAGCACAAGCAACTTTCCTGGGGCCAGAACATTCCCTAATGTCACCTTTTTCACATCCCTATTTGCACATCCCTCCAAAATAACCACACTTGATATAAAACACAAGAAAATGGGGGGAAAAAACCCCAAACAACGTATACTGAATTTCAACTACAAAGACAGTCCTCGGATTACAGCCAAAATTTCTGTTGCTAAGCAAGGCAGCTGCTAAGTGAGTTGTGCCCCCTGTTACGACCCTTTTTGTCACCGTCGTTCAGTGAATTATGCGGTGGTTAATTGAATCTGGATTCCTCTATTGACTTTGCTGGCCAGAAGCCAGCTGGGAAGGTTGCAAATAGGGATCACGTGACCCCAGGACAGGGCAACCGTCACAAATACACGCCAGTTGCCCAAAACCTGAATTTTGATCACATAACCATGAGGATGCTGCAACGGTTGCAAGTCAGAGGACAGGTCTGAAGTCACTTTCCCCCCCCCCCAGCTTAATCATTAATCATTCATTCATCTTTAATCATGCCATTAAAAACATTTTGAGTCCTGAAGGCTAGGGTGAATCCTCCAAGAATCCTCAAAGCTGCCTTTTTCTATGCAGTTCCTCGCCGATGAGTCGTCACTAAAGGTCCTAGATCTTTTGGCTGCCTCTTGCAGTTCAGATCCTGGAATCTGCAAATGATCCAGCTTAAAAGAGAGCAAGCCGGCACGAAGCTGCTTCGGCGTGGGAGCCCTGTAAGTTGAAATCGGAGCCTAAAACTGCTTCTGTTCCAAGCACCAAAGTATTTGCCTCCTTTATTATTTATCAGCCAACTGCATTATTTAAGCCAACCATATCACATTACTACATGGCCCACAGCTTGTGTTTATTCAGCGCTTTGAGTATGTAAAGCATGATAATGTTGTCATTAATAATTCGAGAGGTTCATAAGACTGCAGCTTGGATCAAAATTGGCTGTTGGTGTTTTGCGGTCCAATCTGCCACTGTGGGACAGGAGCCCAACCAACGGGAAGCCAGCTTGGAGACATGGCCTGCGCAGAGTTTTTTTTTTATCTTGATCACACTGAAAACTGACCAAGACAAGAAGTAACGGATGGAACATTATCAAGGAGAGAAGCAACCTAGAACTAAAGAGAAATTGCTTGAGAGTTAGAACAATGAGCCAGTGGAACAGCTTGCCTCTGGAAGTTGTGGGTATTCCATCACTGGAGGTTTTTAAGAAGAGACTGGACGGCCACTTGTCCTGAACGGAATAGGGCAAGAGTCCCCAACCCCTGGTCCATGGACCAGTACCAGGCCACGGCATGCCAGCAACCAGTCCGCACAAACAAGCAAAGCCCCATCTGTGGGATGCAGGCAGCACACAAAACCACACACTCTCCAGTCCGTGGAAAAAACTCTCTCCACATAACCAGTCCCTGGTGCCCAAAAGGTTGAGGACCTCTGGAATAGGGTCTCCTGCTTCAGCAGGGGTTGGACTAGATGACCTCCAAGGTCCCTCCTGACTCTGTGATTCTGTATTCTGACCCTTTGCGTTGTTCAGCTTTGCCTCAGAAGGACGGAAGCCGATCAGACCACAGGTGAGCTCTTCCTCCATATTCAGCAGAGTTGAAAGAGACTGTTAAATTCAGCTCAGTCTGGCCCTGGGTCAGCGGAGCGAGCAGCTCCCCAAGCAACAGAACTAAATCTTTATTTGATTTAAGCTGGAATTGCTCACTGAAGTCGCCCAGAGACTTTTGAAAGGAAGTCATTTTAAGGCTGCAAAGATGCCACAATCACTTCCAACGGAAATTGCTCTAAAGTGGCCTATACAGAAGGTGCCCGATTCTTCTGCTTCTTCTCCCATTTCTAGCTCGCTGTCACATCTGAAGCTGTCCTTCAAGGTGCTGGGCTAAAGCTGATTACTTATTCTGCACCCTTTGTGCCTCCCGTCCCCTGTAGTGGATGCTAGGTGAGCTTATACATTATTTGCAAAGACAATATCTGCATCTGGCCCTCTTTCCACCAGAATAAAAATCAGCCCCCAAAAAGTTACCTTGAATATCTCATTTTAGCAACAAAAGGACCAAATGCGGTTCCCCCCCCCAAATAAATTAGATGTAGGAAGGAGGTTCCAAATTTATAATCAGCATAATCCAAAAGCCAACAAGACAAAGGACATTTTTAGAGGAACCATGTCAACAAGAACATCTGTCTGAGACAATATAGGCTCTCCTGCTTGAGCAGGGGGCTGGACTAGAAGACCTCTAAGGTCCCTTCCAGCTCTATTCTATTCTATTCTATTCTATTCTATTCTATTCTATTCTATTCTATTCTATTCTATTCTATTCCCATCGTCATCCCCTATTCTATTCTATTCTATTCTATTCTATTCTATTCTATTCTATTCTATTCTATTCTATTCTATTCTATTCTATTCTATTCCATTCCATTCCATTCCATTCCATTCCATTCCATTCCATTTTAAGAACAAAGGTCACAACATAAAGAAACCGATGGTGCTGAACCAGAGTACAAATGGCAGTTAAAGAAAATACCTTTATTTACCTGTCTGAAGCCATTCCTGGTATACTGCAGGATTTTCAGAGCATAGTTTGACCGTTGACCTTTGCTGTTGAATTCTATGTGGCCAGTGAGACCTTCCAATTCTACCTGTCCAAGAGAGGGTGAGTTGCAGCGCCACATGGAGACTCTTCCCTTTGAGTCTGAAGGACAAAGCCCTACTCTTCTTATGTCAAGCCAGAAGGGAAAACATAGTCTTGCATGTAACATCTTGGATCTTGGACTCCAAGGTCCCTTCCAGCCCTACGAGCCTATGATTCTACGATTGTCCCAAAGGTGCTTTTTTCAGGAGGCAAGTGGACTTTCTTGTGTTTCTTTTGAAGACGTTTTGCTTCTCATCCAAGAAGCTTCTTCAGCTCTAACTAGATGGTGGGGAGTGGAAGGATTTATATTGCTTGCAGACCGCTGGTCATTTGCCTTCTTTTAGAGAGTCATTGAAACCCAACATGAAAGGACACAGGCAGTGGTGGGATTCAGATATGTAAACAACTGGTTCTCTGTGTGTATGCCGCTTCTGGAAATCCATTCTGGGCCTGGGCAACAAAAAAAATTAGCTACCGGTTCTGCCAAACTGGTGCCAACTGGTTGAATCCCACCACTGGGCACAGGGCAGAAAACATCCTGCAGCCAAGAAGACTCCACACACATTTGCACTTTTCAGGTGACCCTGAGGACACAGGTAAACCTCCAAAATGGTTTCAATGACTCTCTAAGGCAGTGGTTCTCAACCTTTCTAATGCCGCGGCCCCATAATACAGTTCCCCATGTTGTGGTGACCCCCCAACCACTTATACATCACCGGTGCCAGGGGCGTGGCCAAAGAAAAGGGGGAAAAATGGCGGACAGCCTTGTTTGGCGACCCCCGTGAAATGGTCGTTCGACCCCAAATGGGGTCCCGACCCACAGGTTGAGAACCACTGCTCTAAGGGAATGCAAATGGTCCTCTGTCTGCAAGGAGTCTAAATCCTTCCACTCCCCACCATCCAGTCAGAGCTGAAGAAGTTTCTTGGATGAGAAGTGAAACATCTTCAAACAAGAAAGTCCAGTTGCTTCCTGAAAAAAGCATCTTTGGGACAACCATACCTGGATGAATGAGAATCTCCATAAACGATTCTATGAGTCTATGATTCTACGATTCTATGTTTCTATAATTCTACACATCTACGATTCTACAATTCCATGTTTCTACGATTCTATGAAAACTACTGGAAATGTTTCTTGCTCCTCACAGTCATGAGAGGTTTCAGATCAGGCAGGAAGATGGGAAGGCTTTGGACAGGCTACCAATGTGATCAGGTGAGAGGGGAGGAAGTCCAGGTGCATTGTGAAAAGGTAGGGACCAAGCCAACTTTTTTTCTACCTCAACAGCTGGTCTGCCTCTTACGCTACCTTCTGCAGAGACCTGTGTTGCCATCACCATAGCTGTGAATTTGCACTGTCAAAAATGAGTGCTTAATTCAAACACATTGCCTGGGAGCTGACGGGAAGCCATTACATGGCTGGGTAGCATCAGGCATCACATTGGGTTAAGTGAACATGAAGCATGATGGAGTAAAGGTCTGGTAAATACAGATAACCACACTCTGCTAATTGTTGACAAAGCATTAGATTACTGATTTTCCAGTAATATAGATCCCACATAGGAGAAAATAGAACCGCAGTAATTCCTGTTAGGGATTCATTTTTTATGGCAGAATGTAAAGTCCCAACTGAGCTTGTGATGGACATATCAAGTGACTTATCCATCATCAAAAGCCAAAACAATAAAGGATCTCCTTTGTGTAGATGGATATGAGTCATATCCATACACAGCAGGGTGAAACCCAACCAAGACTCAACAAAGCCAGCACAGAACTTGCAAGATAGTGACAGATCTTCTTAATAAAAGGACATCATCCCCCAACTGAGCAACCATACATTCAGGCCCTCTAGGAACTTGAAAACATTTTATTTTGTTTGCCTACTTGAGATTTGGAGAAGGACTGCCTAATAGCTGAGGGGATCCTGAGGACCTGTCATTAAAAAAAAGGCAAACTTGCCAGTGATTTGACAGTCTTACTTTCGGGGTTGAAGTTGGCCAACATCTTCAATAAACACTAGAACAAGGGTGTCCAACGTTGGCAACTTTTAAGATTGTGGACTTCAACTCCCAGAAGCCAGACATGCTGGCTGGGGAATTCTGAGAGTTGAAGTCCACGGGTCCTAAAGTGGCCAAGGTTGGACAGCTCTACCCTAGGACCTATGTCCAACTGATGGATCTTGTCTTCTTGATTCTTTATTCTGATTCTTCCGTTGAAACCATTAACTAATGTTATGGTTCCTTGGCACGTGTTCTGCCCCTCCAGTTCTGCCTATTTTAATCACACAGAGACACTGCCCATGTTTTTGTCAAGGAAACCAAGATGCAGAAGAAGCACCAGTAATGGTCAGCAATGGACAAAGAGAGACTTACTTCAAGTGAGTGAGCAAGGACAAGGTGATCAGAAAATGGAGAGAGGTTTCATGGATATGACTGTCTCAGGCCAAATATTAGGAGGTATCTTCTAGAACATTGTTTCTCCACAAGTTTAAGATGTGTGGATTTCAATATGCTGGCGAGGGGATTCTGGGAGCTGACGTCCACATATCTTAAAGTTGTTAAGGTTGAGAAATGTTATTCTAGAATAGGGGTCTTCAAACTTGGCCCTTTTATGACTTGTGAACTTCAACTCCCAGAATTCCTCAGCCAGGCACTCTGGCTGAGGAATTCTGGGAGCTGAAGTCCACAAGTCATAAAAGGGCCAAGTTTGAAGACCACTGTTCTAGAAGAATATGGAAAAAACTGTCAGGGGATGAGATGGTTTCCTTCAGTGGAGATATTTATACAGATTCTTAGGGCCTGTTCTGATGAGGCTTCCTACAGTCCTACAACCTTGCTTTATAGTTAACCTCTAAGCTGGACTTCAGTCTATCTCATTCCGACAACAAGGGTGAACCCCCATTCTGAAATCCTCCACGCTCAATCCATTCTCACCATTCTGAGGTAGTTCATCAAACTTGTGCCATGTTGCCAGATTTGGGCAGATCCACAAGACAAGGGTTTCACGCCAATTTCCTGGCTCCGGTTCAGCTCTTGTACTGCGCTGACCACAGCATAGACTGCATCGAACAACAAGGCAGAAGACAGCTGAAGAAAACAGGGAACATGGAAAAAAATGTTATTGGGACCCAAACACCAGGCCGTTTCAAAAACAATAATCTGGGACAGAACAAAAGACAATTAAACAAGGAAATTCTTGGTTCAAGTCAATAGGGAATAAAGTTCATGCATTTGATGGAGAAGATCCTGAATGGACTGTGGCAGGTGGCCCTACCTCACTAATCATGGCTGATTTCTAAAATGCTAACCAGGATTAAACCTGTTTTGTACTTGGTTGGAAGAGCACAGAGTTATAAGCCAGACTGTTCTGACTAAAAGGCAGCATTATGTGAATTAAAAAAAAAACCAGGGCTTTTTTAGTTATGGCACCATCTTTGTGAAACCTTCTCCTTAGGAAACCTTACCTGTGATTTACTGTAAATATCAAAGTCAACTCAAGAATTAACCTTTTAAGGAAGATTTTGCATGGAATGAATCCCGTTCATTATTTTTCCCAGTCTGGTATTGCTCTGAGATATATTTTTTTCTATTATAATTTGTTACAGAGTTGTTTTTACTGGAGGGCTGTCAAATGGAGTTCTCCTGTTTCTATTATCTGTAATTTGATGTTATTGTTCTTAATTGATTTTAATCCATGCTGCAAGCTGCTCTGCTTTGTATCTGAAGAAAAGCCAGGGAGAAGGTTGATAAGGTACAATAACGATCATGTTTACCCAGAAACAATTAAAATATTTTGCAACTCTATTTTAGAGCGTCTTGCAAATGATCTTGATGTATCAGATTTTATTAAGAAAACATGCTCTGCAACGTTATTCAAGCAAGTGAAACACAAGAACAACTGCAGCCGACACGATAAATCAATTCTGATGATATGTCCTAGATCAAAACTGTTCTAAGGATATTATTTAACCTTGTGCATTAATTTGCTCTGAGTCACACTTCCGGAGAACGTGGCTTAATTAATACTAGACTCTTTGCTATTTCCCAATTAAATTACTTTAACCTCAAATCCCTGGTTTATTTTGATACAGTGCAAGAATTGCTATTAGCTTGTCCCTTTTGATCCATATTTTTTTCATCCTGTCCTATGTTTCTCTGTTAGCCACAAATATTTACTTTTAAATATAGGATTTAAGAGTCTCAGTCCAAAGAATGTATCTATTCTGGGACATGGATGAATGAACTATATCTATATGTCTCAGCTGCTAATCCCTTCAGTGTAACAACATTATGAAAAATTGAGGAGAGCTTTCCCAAATGACTTCTAAATTACAATCCCCCAAAAGCTTCATTTAATTCTGTCTTTATCTCACGATTCCAATCACCCAAATGGCATTAACCTCTCTCCAAATAATCTTTAACACTTATATTTATCGATCCAAGTTAAAACATCCCAATGGATGGATAGAAATGCCTCTTCACCTTGCAAGTCTACTCAGATGTGTGTTTCAGTTTTGGCCATACCCACTTTCCGTATCCATAACCTTTATCTCCATAAGAAGTAAATACTTGCAACCCTTCAATTCTTCTCTGTTTCTGACTTTATGCTCAGACCGAGAACATTCACATGTCTTCTCTGCAGTCATTGGAAATTCAGATTTCAAGGCTATTTCCTACATTCTGGGTAAACAGTTTAGCTACCTGAGCATCCATGCAGAGCTGCCTATTGATAAAGTTGAATATTTAATCCATTCCATGTGCTAAAAATACCCTCTGTACTAAAGCTTCCCATGATAACAAAAGAAATAAAGACATCAGAATGAGCTGAGCTGAAACAAAGCTTCGTAGGACAATATAAGTGGGATTAATTGCCAACTTAACTGCAAATCAGTTGTCCTTTGGCATCGTTCGGCTGATGCCTGCTTTTGATAAAGCCAGCTTTATCCCGATAAACACCAACATGTTCAAGATGGGTTGTCTTCTACTTCTCTTCCAAGAAATTTAAATTGCTACATTTGATTCTTCTTCCCACTCTCCTTTTTAGCTTTTATATCTACCTCACAGGGGAGGCATCTAAACGTGTCTTCAGTTTCTGGGACCCCCAGGCCTGGTGATGTCTTGAGGGACTTCTGGAACATCAAGAAGGATAGGATTAACCTGATTTCAGGGGAGATAATGTTCCATAGGGCAAATATTGGAACCAAGAAGGCTTTTGCCTGGGGCTCACCAAGTACAGGTAGTCCTCAACTTATGAACACAACCGAGTCCAACATTTCTGTTGCTGAGATGGTTGTTAAGTACGTTTTTGCTCCATTTAGTGACCTTTCTTGCCACAGTTGTTAAGTGAACCACTGTTGCTCAATTAGTAACAAGGTTGTTAAGTGAATCTGGCTTGTCTCTTGACTTGGCTTGTCAGAAGGTCACAAAAGGGGATCACGTGACCCAGGGACGTGGCCACCATCATAAATACATGCGGGTTGCCCAGCGTCTGAATTTTGATCACGTGACCCTGGGGATACTGCAAGCGTCATAAATATGAGTCCGATGCCAAGCATCTGAATTTTGGCCACGCGATCGTGGGGCTGGTGCAGCTGCCGTAAGTGTGAAAAATGGTCATAAATCACTTTTCTCAGTGCCATTGTGACTTTGAACAGTCACTAAGCAAAAGGTTATAAGTCGAGACTACCTGTATAAGTCCGTGGCAGAGGGTGTCTATAGATCCCCTCTCTGCTAGATCTAATGGGTTGATGTAATTCAGGAGGGGCAGTTCCTTAGATAAACTCAGCTCGTGCCCTGAAAGCCCTTCAAAGTTGAAACCAACACCTTGAATTGGACCCAGAATCAAAGTGGCAATGAATGCCGCTTGTGGAGCACAGGTGTGACATCTGCTCTTCTGGGAGGACACGTAATTGCCTGCCCCGCTGCGCTCGGCATGAATTGGAGCTTCCAGATGCTCCTCAAGGGCAACTTGATGTACAGTGCATTACCGGAGTCCAATCTGGAGGTGACTAGCAAGAGCAGAATAGCATTTAGACTTACATACTGCTTCACGGTGCTTTATACCCCTCTCAAAGAGTCAGCATTTTGCCCCCAACAATCTGGGTCCTCATTTTATCGACCTCGATAAAAAAGGATGGCAGGCTGAATCCATCTTGAACCAGTCAAGATCAAACTCCTGGCAGTGAGCTGAATTTGCCTGCAATGCTGCATTCTAACCATTGTGCCACCAGGGCTCGTCCTTCCTTCCTTCCTTCCTTCCTTCCTTCCTTCCTTCCTTCCTTCCTTCCTTCCTTCCTTCCTTCCTTCTTTAGGACTTAGCAAGAGCATTTAGACTTATATACCGCTTCACAGTGCTTTACAGCCCTCTCTAAGCAGTTTACAGAGTTGGCATAAATTGCCCCCAACAATCTGGGTCCTCATTTTACCAACCTTGGAAGGATGGAAGGCTGAGTCAACCTTGAGCTCCATCAGGATCATACTCCATTTTTTTCTGGATCATAAAGGGGGAATTCTGGGAATTGAAGTCCACCCATCTTAAAGTTGCCAAGTTTGAGAATTGTTGCATTAAACCCTCCAGGAACTTCCTACATGAAAATCCTCCCCTGGTACGATTATTTCTACAGGATAGTTCACAATTTTCCTGTGGATAACTCAACTTTGATTCAATGACTCCTCATTAATTCTATTTATTCTTCCTGTCTCATATACTAGGTTTTTAATGTCACCAACGTCAACACCTTGGGTATTTTTTAATTATTATTATCTTAATCAAGATATTAACTGGCCATTTTTCCTTTCCTCCCTATGCTATGACTAAGAGTTCACCTTTAATTAATGTCACTTCCTGCTCGTTGTTGTTGTCAGTCTCTTATTATGATTAAAGTTCCATTTCTTAAATAAATGAACCACTCTCCATCTCATATCTTTCTCCAATAATTCTCCTGGGGCTTTAGGGATCTGTCTTCTCTTCAAAATCCCCCACATTATCTCCCCTCTGCCATGTGAACACTATTACCCCAGAGAATATCTACTGATTGTGTCAAGACTCTCCTGGAAAAAACAACGATATGACTGTAATGTTCAAAAAGCTTTTGAGAGCTTCCCTTGAGCTTATCTAGAATAAACCATTCTGGTTCTTCTTCAAGATCATTGGCAGGGCTTTGCTCTCACTGCCCAAATGACGATCTCTTTGTCCTTTGCATAGATCTGTTCTCCAAAATAATAATAAGAAATATACTTTGCACAAATTCCTCAGCGTTTTTCCAGGTTGATCAGAGTTCCAGAGATTTGTCTGAATGCTATATGAAAAAAAAATAAAAAATCCCAAGGTCAAACCAACCAGCAGCAGGTTAAAACTCAGTTTATCTTGGTGGGCCTCCATTCCCTGTCATCCTGTCCATTGCCTGACTTATGATCTTCACAGTTCTTTTAGTCAATGTTTCACTTCCTCTTCTCCACTTTTCTGTGGAGTAATGATCTCTTATTAGCAACCACAAATGGTGCTTGTAGATCTTAATGAAGCATATGACAATATTGATTGGAGTTTTCGACTTTCCAGCTTATGACCATTTGCATCAATTCTTGGATTTTGGGGGAAAAAATCTTCTGTCCACTGTCTTGCTTTTTTTTAAAAAAAAAAAAATTATTTAGACAAGATGATCAAGGGCAGTTTCCAGAAAAGCAGAATTATAGGGCCTTAGAGCCCATTTTAGAGAAAATGTTCTGTAGCATGGTTGCTCAAGGCAATGGAGGTCCCATTAACCAGTCCAGACAATTTTCTATCCATCACCTCCTTCCAGCCACACCAAATTAATTGGGGGGAAGGGGGGAAGAGGGGAAAGGATTTCAGTGCATGGAACAGAAACTCACCCCAGTATCTAAAGCACAAATGCTAATAATGCACTCAGTTCCATTTATGTAGTTCCTCACGAAGGCACACAGAGAGTTCAAGGTTGGTAGAGGAGAATTATTGAGTTTCCAGAAAAAGTAGCCTGGGAATGCAGAGTGGTTTCAAACTAATAACAGCTGAGTCTCCAAAGGTTAGAAAACAATGTATTTGCAAAGGAATAAATCCAATGGAATTGTCT